GTTTCAGTTTTTGCAGATGGATATCCAGTTATGCCAGCACCATTTGTTAAAGAGACTGTCTTTTCCCCAATTAACGGACTTCGGGCCTTTGTCAAGTATCAGCCGCTCATAAGTGGATGCATTTATGTCTGGATTCTAAATTCTGTTCCATTGGTCTGTGTATCTGTTGTTGTACCAGTACCAAGCTGTTTTGACTACTGTGAAATGGCAAATGTTTTATTACATATGCATTTACCACAATTAAAACAAAAACAGCTATCCATTCAACTTTGAAGTTTTTTTTTTTTTTCTTAAATCTTTTCTTCGTGCAGCCAGCCAGAGAGAAAGTTCAACTTTGAACCCGATTACAAAATCATCTGAAGCTGTAACAGTGAAAAATGCTTCAGGAAATAAAAAGAAAAAAAAAGGTATTTTTGTTGCTGTTTTAACTATTCCTTCCACTTCTTTCTCAAGTCACTTCCTCCTTTCATAGACTGTATTTCCACTACTAAGTAATTAGCCCAAGTAGAAACAGAAAAACTCAACTGGCCTCATATAAATCAGATACTGAACAGCGTAGCCATATCCACTGGAGGAACTAGTCTCCGGCACACTCAACAAGGCCAAAAGAGAAGTACAGGGTCTTGGCAGGTTTAGGAGTTTCTCTGCAATGAACAGTCAGTAGGACCTGATAAGTTTGTCTTGGAGAGTTCTCTCCTATGATCACTGTTTAGAACCAGAAACTTAGTGGTTTAGAAGAAATTTTGAGACATTACCAAATCCATCCTCCTGCCTCCAAGCGGGGTTGAACTAATGAGAAGCTTTTCGAGGATTAAAGATTTGCAGCCAACTGTTAGGGAACCAAGATTCTACCCCACACTTCCACTAATGGCCGTGTCTCAGCATCCTCTTCTGCCTGATGAGGATTTTGAGCTCACAGTTTCCCAAATTCCACTCCAGCTCTAACATTTTGAAATTGAGATAGCACGAGGTTATCACTGGGTGTGTCATAAACACAGTCTTTGGGAAACTCCTCATGGAGGCTAACCTAAATTTGTGTTGTTCTGTTTAAGCCTATTTCATTTTTTTCTGTACAGTTAGCCTGTGAAAGGCAACAAGTCCTTATAATGAAGCTCTTCACCCTTTGGACTTCTTTTCTTCAATTTTAATCTGTTCTTGTGGCTATTTTTTTCCTGTCCTTGAATTATCCTTATATCTCCTCTGTGAAATCTCACCAAGTGAGAAAAATACCAATTCTTGTGATCTAAAAAACCAATTGAAAATCTACAGTGAGAAAGTTTATCAGACCCTGTCTCTGTTGCTTGATGTGAGTATAGTCTTCATACTGGATAATGCTGGTAGATTTTGGAATATCTGCCAAAAAAGGAAAGAATGTGCTATGTTATCATTTTAGATGGTTACCATCTGGGAATATTTTCAACCAAAAATCCTTTCAGATGAGTTGTTTGGGGTTGCTGTGGGGATGAGGATGATCAGCATCTCCAAGACAGGTGGACCTACAGAGGAAGGTTCCTAAGCTGGGCCAGATGGACATCTGAGGGGAGAGGTGTGCTGGGTCACAAATTCTAACCCTGCATCTGGACTTAACAGAAAGAGGTAACAAGGACAGAGATTGAGCGTCTGTGTCACCGTGTGCTGCTAACTTGGAATTATGGAAAGACCCAAAAGGTCAAAATCTATTTGAGAACATCAAAGCCTTTCAAGGCTAGAGAGAAGCCCTGACCACATCTATTTATTGAGACTCTTGATTTAAAAAAAAAAAAAAGAATACAAAATGCCAAAGCAAGGTTATAAAAATTTCTAACATAAAAATTCCAGTGAACGCGTGCATAACTTCGTGAGGTGATCATGCCAGGGTCTGAATATACATCCTCCTGTGCGTCACCCCCTCCACTCCGCACATACACCCCCAGCCCCCGAAGGCCCTGGACATGTTCAACCCCTATAGAAGGTGAATGATTAAGGGAAAAGTCAAAAAGAAAGCAACACAACTATTTCTTCTTTAGCTTTTAAACCATAGCTGTGTTGAGGCCCAGGCCACAACAATGCCTTTTAGCTACTGAAACCTGGCACAAAAGTACCAGACTTGCTTCTTTTGACCTTTGTGAGCTACATGGACTCTCAGAGGTCAGGTGCCTCCCACCGAGCTCCCTGGGG